GGAAAGAAGTGATGCAGTAGTTTGTTTCTCAAACATTTATTGTTCCATTGATAGTCAGAGAAAGCAACTCCATCAATACAGAGTTGTTTCAGACCAAGGGAAATATCAGAGAATATAATATCTTGTCTCACCACAGCCCTAAGAGAAACTGGAACAGTCTTTAAAATTTGGTTATATTTAATCTTATCGCAATGGATTTAAATTTTTTTACAGAACTCCTGATATTGTAAAATATTTCCTTCGTTGTCCATAAAATGGGCCACAGCCCACACATCTTTAGAACACCATTCCTCAATAAATATAGATTTTTTTATTAAGCAGAATGTACCTATTGTTCCACACTGGTGTGTGGTGTGAAATTATGACTGAAAATGAGTTTCCAGTAAAGAAGAACCTGTTTATGAAAATCTGAAAGTTTTACCGGAAATCTGCTAAACTCAAAATCACATTAAGAGAAAATGAAGTCCCCCCATCTTATTAAACACCAAATTGGGTATATATGACCAAATTGAGAGATTATTATTTAGAAAAAATTTTAGCCATTTAAGTTTTAGGGTACCATTCATAATTTCAAAGTCTATTGCATTCCCTCCACCGTCTTCGTAAGTTTTAATCAGGTCATCTTTACGTATATACTGATTTTTTTTCCTCCAAATGTAATTAAAATTTATAGTATTAATAGCCTTTATCATCTTGGTTGATATAGGAAGGGAATAAGCTGGATAAATAAATCTGGAAAGATGAAATATCCAGTCCCCCGGCACAAACAGAGTAAAGTGGTGTATGCGGTTCAGTGTCAGGAGGGATGTGATCAGTCTTAAATCGAGGAAACTAAACAGCCACTGGCCAAAAGGATGGACCAGCACAGAAGATCAACATCATCAGGCCAGGACTCTGAGGTCTACACTCATCTCCAGGCCAGCGGTCACTCTTTCAGGGATGAAGATGTTCACATCCTGGACAGAGAGGAACGATGGTTTGAGAGAGGAGTAAAGGAGGCCATCTTTGCGAAAAGAAACCGTCCATCATTAAACAGGGGTGGAGCCTCCGGGTTCAACTGTCCCCCTCTTACAATGCTGTGATTGCTAGTATCACTCAGCCCTCTGTGAATAGTAAACAGCCATAAG